GTTTTAATTTATGATGAGTTTATATAAATTTGAAGCCCAATAACATTCTTTCCTATGGTATGTGTCATATTATTATCATTTTCATATTGCAGATAATCCCGTTTTTTATTTCCTTTTGATAAAAAAAAAATTGTCTTTTGTTCCTTTGCATTAGAATTTGCTAATTTTACAGGTTAGCTAACAGCGTGATTTGATTACATAATTGATGCTTGGTAAATTTTTAAGTTTATAATATAAATCTGATTCGGTTTTATTTTGGGCTTGTTCTTCTCTTTTTGCTGCTTTTAGATTCACAATATTGAGTTTTATGCACCACGTTTGATAACTCGATTTACAAAATGTACATAATGTGCATGGAATTGAAATTAATTTTTTGTTATCTTGTACTTTTTTATCAACTCCAAAATTTTATGTATGTACTTACCGGGTCATCCTCATTGTAATATTTGATGTTAGTTCCTTCATCTGACTGACTGTGGTGAGGGGACAAAGTAAATTTGTTCTTCCACTCGTAAATACGATACACAGATTTGTTTATCTTTTGAAGGTTCAGTGTCTGTTTTTCATGATTTACAATGTTTAAATAGAGTTGAAACTCAGTATGAAAATTATTTTTTTCCTGAAAAAAAAGTTAATTGTATTCAAACTCAGTCAGTTTACTGATGATCATACCAACTAGAGGAGCTGAGAGGATAAGCGTTTCGTGTTAAACATGCATCCCAAATTGATGTTCTAGTGCAGATACCTTTCGAAATTGGTAATAGACGATGATTAATATCGAAGATATGTTTCAGGGATGTTCTGGCAACGGGATTTTAGCCTCAACTTAAACCTCATTACGGACATACCGTATCTTATAACCAAAAAGGTAGATTACTATCCGCACACTAAAAGTTGATTATATGAAAGCTGAAAATAACAAAGCTTGTCATAGTTCCCCATCACTCGAAGATTTCTAGGGAAGCATGTACGTATAAAGAGATTCCTTGCGGGTGTTTTCCTCTAATGGGAACTGTCTTAATTTTTCGTCCTAGTCACTCCCTTCAAGATCTTGTGAATTAAACTAATAACTTTTAAAATAACCAATGATTTCTTTTATATTTCAAATTTTGGCATTATATGAATTCGAAACTAAATATTTTGTTTTTAATAAGAGTTTATCAAACCTCCCTCCGACATACAATACTGCGACTTAAAAAAGGTCACTGCATTTACCTGGTTCTCTTCCGCATTAATATACGTGTTATTTGTCTTTTCAACGAAGATGTTTTTCCTACTTTGTAATTGATTTTGTTCAATGTCATATCAAAATTAATACTAGTTATTTCTGTATTTTGAACGAAATCTTACAAATTATTACCAGCTAATCTTCAAAAGTGGATAAAAGAGGGGTAAGAATAAATAGATGATCAAGAAAAACTTCTGCTTAATACATTAAACAATTTTACTTCAGCACGTTGTATTTTCTTATTGTTCTTTCATTTTTTGTCAATTGCCGTAAGGTTGTGACGAAAACACGTGGAATAAAAAAGGGCCAATGGTGTTCACAAATGTAAATAAAATGCTCCGCAGGGCGCAGCTTGATACGACCGCAGAGGTCGAACCCTGAACAGTTGGGGCAAGTATGGACACAACATTCAAGCTTGATACAGCTCTGAATTTGGATTGTGATTAAATATTTGACAAAGCATAGGTTTCTGACACAGAATGAATGTGGTCTAAGAACTTAAAAATTTTAAATTGGACATTCACCTATTATGGTCCAATATCCAAAATCTAAATACATGGTTAGATTCAGCATATCAAAGAACCCCAAGAATTCAATTTTTTATGAAATCAAACAAAGTTTAATTTTGGACCCTTTTGACCTCAATGTGGACAAAGTTGATAATGGGGCCCAAAAATCAAAAATGTAAATACATGGTTAGATTCAGCATATCAAAGAACCCCATATATTCAATTTTTGTTGAAATCAAACAAAGTTTAATTTTGGACCCCGATTTGGACCAACTTGAAAACTGGGCCCATAATCAAAAATCTAAATACATGTTTAGATTCAGCATATCAAAGAATCCTAAGAATTCAATTTTTGTTAAAATCAAACTAAGTTTAGTTTTGGACCCTTTGGACCTCAATGTGGACAAAGTTGATAATGGGGCCCAAAAATCAAAAATCTAAATACATGGTTAGATTCAGCATATCAAAGAACCCCATATATTCAATTTTTGTTGAAATCAAACAAAGTTTAATTTTGGACCCCGATTTGGACCAGCTTGAAAACTGGGCCCATAATCAAAAATCTAAATACATGTTTAGATTCAGCATATCAAAGAACCCTAAGAATTCAATTTTTGTTAAAATCAAACTAAGTTTAATTTTGGACCCTTTGGACCTTAATGTAGACCAATTTGAAAACGGAACCAAAAATTAAGAATCTAAATACACGGTTAGATTCAGCATATCAAAGAACCCCAATAATTCAATTTTTGATGAAATCAAACAAAGTTTAATTTTGGACCCTTTGGACCATAATGTGGACCAATTTAAAAACGGGGCCCAAAATCCAAAAACTTAATACACGGTTAGAATCAGCATATTAAAGAACCCCAAGAATTCAAGAATAAAACCCCATTGAAATTGGTCAAGAAATAAGCAATTTATACGAAGTATCTTCTTTTGTACAATACTGAGCAATTGAATATTTCTTGCTATTGCGCAATACTGTACAGTTGACAATTTCTTGCTATTGCGCAATATTGTGCTATTGGATATTTCTTGCTATTGCACAACACTGTGCAATTGAAGATTTCTTGCTATTGCGCAATACTGTGCAATTGAAGATTTCTTGCTATTGTGCAATACTGTGCAATTGAAAATTTCTTGCTATTGCACAATACTTATTATATAATAATTTACACATCCTGTTTGGTGTGAATCTCCTACCATATCATTATTATTTGCTTTTAAATATAAAACAGAAATAACCAACTTAAAATGGAAAATTTTAAAAGAAAAAAAAGGAAACCCCCCCCCCCCCCAAAATTTTGTGAACCCCCTTATGATTCATCACCCCCAAACTCAATCCCAGCCTTCCCTTTGTGGTATGGTACCTTGCAGTACAATTTCAGAGAGATCTATACACTTGAACACAAGTTATTGTCTGGAAACTAGAAAAATGCTTATTTTTGGCCCCTTTTTTGGCCCCTAATTCCTAATATTGTGAGGCAATTACCCCCAAAATCAATCCCAGCATTCCCTGTGTGATATGGAACCTTGTGGTACAATATCAGAGAGATCCATACACTTGAACACAAGTTATTGTCTGGAAACTAGAAAAATGCTTATTTTTGGCCCCTTTTTGGCCCCTTATTCCTAAACGTTTTGGGCAATTACCCCCAAACTCAATTCCAGCTTTCCCTTTGTGATATAGAACCTTGTAGTACAATTTCAGAAAGATCCATACACTTACACACAAGTTATTATCATGAAACTAGAAAAATGCTTGTTTTTTGCCCCTTTTTTGGCCCCTAATTCCTAATATTGTGAGGCAATTACCCCCAAAATCAATCCCAGCATTCCCTGTGTGATATGGAACCTTGTGGTACAATATCAGAGAGATCCATACACTTGAACACAAGTTATTGTCTGGAAACTAGAAAAATGCTTATTTTTGGCCCCTTGTTGGCCCCTTATTCCTAAACGTTTTGGGCAATTACCCCCAAACTCAATTCCAGCTTTTCCTTTGTGATATGGAACCTTGTAGTACAATTTCAGAAAGATCCATACACTTACACACAAGTTATTGTCATGAAACTAGAAAAATGCTTGTTTTTTTTCCCTTTTTTGGCCCCTAATTCCTAATATTTTGAAGCAATTACCCCCAAAATCAATCCCAGCATTCCCTGTGTGATATGGAACCTTGTGGTACAATGTCAGAGAGATCCATACACTAACACACAAGTTATGTCTGGAAGTTGCAAAAATGCTTATTTTTGGCCCCTTTTTGGCCCCTAATTCCTTAACTGTTGGTACCATAACCCCCAAAATCAATCCCAACCTTCCTTTTGTGGTATTGAACCTTATGGTAAAATTTCATAGAGATCTATTCACTTAAACTAAAGTTAGAGGGCGAAAACCAATGTGTCTTCGGACGACGCCAGACGACGACGACGACGACGACGACGACGCCAACGTCATACCAATATACGACCGCAAAAATTTTTTGCGGTCGTATAAAAAGTCTTAGCTTTCTTTGTAGTGTTTTGTGTATTTGTTACTCTTTTTGTTGACTTTCGGGTTGTTGTTTTTTTTTTTTAACATGACATTGTCAGTTTACCGTCGAGTTTTGAATGTCACCTTGATATCTTCCGCTTCTTTCTTACCACCAGCTTAAAATTGACAATTACAGTACGTTTTGTGTATGCTTATAATACTTACATTGTTTTGATTTTCTAAAGAATTACCTATAAAGATAATGAATCATTTTGTAAGTAAACTAAACGTGAAAACAGATGCTGAGTACACATTTTAGAGCAGAATCCGTACTCAAAATGGTACTCACAAATATGTTAATCTACTTTCTAATAATAATTTAAATCAAAACAGTATGGCAAGGCGTGTGCTCATCTTTTCTAAGTTAAGTTATGTCATCAAGGCTAACCCAATACTTACGTTTCATTTAAGCCTATCTGTTTAGCGGTTTGAAAATATTACCAATAATGGTACCATTGAATAGTTTTATTTTCGATCAATTAACATGACAAATTTTACCTTCCCCTTCAAAACAACAAACACGTGTGTAACATTTAAGAAACACAATTTAGAGCGTAATTCTCAAGACACTTTTTTAGATAATAAGAATCACTGCTCATTCGTGTAACAAAAAAAAAATAAAATCGAACAATGTATTTGGTATTTATTGTTTAGGTCGTTATTAATTTATCCTGAAGTCTTTGTGTATGCTTAGAATCGAATGATTATAATACGTTCACTGTGCTTACCATTAGGATACCTATGGTGCATGCTCACCCGGAACCGGAAATTGTATCCATCGCTTGTAATTATACTTGTAACTATATATATTATTGATGATTTATCTGAAAGGAATACATAAAAATGCAATTCTTAAATTTTACATACATGGTGCTATTTTTTCAATTATAATTTCTGTTCTTGAAACATGTTCATGGATTTGATTATTCATTTATTTGGTTTAAAGCTGATACGCTAATCAAGGGTTGCTATTATGCATTAACTAGATACATGTTTTAATAATCAGCATATGATTATAAACCCTTAACAACTTAAAAGGCAATTTAAAAATATTTTCCTCTTGTCGTTGTATACGTGCAATATGTTTAATAATTCAAGGTTCTATTTCCAAAGCTACCGGATGCAATTCTTAACATATCTGAAAGGATATAATTTTAGCAGTGATTATATTGGATTGACTACATCTTGGTTTTGAATTTCTCTTTAATCAAGCTCTCATAACCAGAATAATATTTTTTGGGAACAGTGGCTTTCTGATGGATGCTACTTCAAACATAAATATTCGACTATGTATGATTTTCTGTATATAACACGGTTCGTATATATCATGAAACAAATGAAGTTACTGTATAAAGATCGTGCGTGTATGTGAGCTTGTGTGCTTGAATTATTTTACTTTACAGCACCGACAGCAATGTGATTCCGTACCTGTTTTTATTGTAATATTGAAGCAATTATCCTCAGATCGTTTAGACTCAATAGTGGGTCTGGTATTCAACGTCATTTTACAGAAAATGCCATACAGGAAACATATCATATGTGATACCACAGTCGGTATCGTGAGGTATAGCTTTAAAAGTAGGGTAGTTTTTCCGTCAAAAACTGAAAGGGAAAAAAATTTTTATATTATATGACAAAACAATCGATATACAAACTCATATAAGATCTACTAATGTATTATGTGAATTTACATAACATTTATATTTCTGGATATTAAGAATTTTCTCCCTTTATAGATAACGTATATTTAGACTTCCGAAACCGATAAAACATATCAAAAGAACATACTTTTAAGATGATAAGGATGGAACACATTGGTTTCAAATTTCTTACATTTAAATGCTTAATTCCGTATGCACAGTTCTAAAAATAAAGTTTTTACTTTTTTTTTTTTTTTTTTTTTTTTTTTTTCCTAATTATTTTTCATGATTAATTCGTTGTTAAATTGGCTTGTTTTCAAATAATTTTAAACTGTTGATATTTTTTTTTCTCTAATGGATTATTCGATCTGTAATAGTGTGATAGGGCGACAGTATGATCCCTGACAAAGTGCTAGTATAACAAATCTACTAAATAACACCCTCAAAATTTTAATTCAATGCAATAATGCATATGCATTATAAGAAAGTTTGGAATTATTCAATGAGATAGCAACCCAGCACAAATCAAATCAAATGATACCTAGAAGTAAACATACATGTTTAATCACTTGATCGTTTAGCATTTTAGAACACTGTAAAACATAATTGTATTTTAGATAGGGTCATTTATCATTAAGACCAGAGAAACAGTCTATAAATTTTTTTATCTTCAAATATGATGTGTGTACATTATGCCTTCGATTATTGGTCGTATCTTATTTTCATAACACCCATAGTGGATATTTTATTTTGTGACATCAAAGTAACTTCTAAAATGATATATTTGCACTAAAATAACCACACTTTATCATCATAATCATTTATTAATAAATAAAAAAGCCGTGAAATAAAACATTAATTACCCTGGTACTACTGAATAAGGAGACATGAAAATTTGTTCTCCCAAGAAAAGTCATTTCCCCTCTAGAGTAACCCTCGGGAAAGATTTGCCGTTTGGAGGGGGGGAAATCTTTCTATCTTCCTGAGTCAAGGAAATTACGGTTATTCATAGTGATCTGTTTTTAGAATCATGGAAGTACATGTCACTATAATACTTCCATATTTTAACTAAACTGCGATAGAACTGCGACTACTCCAACAAAATTATAGTTTCAGGTTAACGAAAACTTCGAATTTCCTATAAATGTTTACTAGTAGTCTAAACATATTTTATTTGCAAAAGTATCAAAAGGGATTGGACACATATATAACAACATTAGTGACGTCCTTTCTCTAATGTAATCTCTTAAATCGGCATGACAACCTATTGACCGCCCCTCCCCCCATTTCCTCTTCATGTATGCTTATGCTTGTTCAAAAAGAGGGTTCCAAAATTAACTTTCTTTTCAAAAAGTGATATGATGTGGAATAGTCATTAATGTCCAATCTGACAAATTTGATGGCATCAGTTTATAGTGTCGAATTGCATCATTGGATCTGATTACTCACAACATAGTATGACTGATAAACAAACCATTTAGGTTATTCAAACCGAAAGTACACATATACAATATTAGTTCCGTGTCCTTGCATGAGGCTTATAGAAACTTAGGAAGAGAGAGATAACATTTTTCAGTAATTCATCTGATATTGTTGTTATGTTGCAGCTAAAAATGGCTACAATACACAAATACTATAATTTTATAAACTAATCAAAATAATTACAATTCAATGATGAGTTTTGAAAATGTGAACACAAAAATAAAACTGGTTTTCCATCATTCAAGAAAGAAAAGTGACGTGTCGGACGAATTATTATTGTGTTACTATATTCGGTAGATAAAGGCAAAAGGAAGTGTTTTAGCTGTAGTCTAAAATTCAACACCTTTATTCAGTAAAATAATTTCATCTGTTTTTCGGTTTATTTCATCTTCATGATGTTTCAGTTAATCTTTTTCGATCAATTATTGCTTACCTTTACTGTTATTCACAACATACTTATCCTCGAACATTTTGTTGTGTGGTTAAAATGCATATGAGTGGAATTTCCATATCTAAATTTAGAACGTGACTTCTTGTATTTTGCAAGGTTTCGTATTTAATCGATAGGACATGACACAGGGATCATTACAGGCATACAGATAGTTTAGATACATAATCATATCTTTCATACTGAGAATACCTACATTCATACTTACTGTAAACAAGTTGCTTTCTTTAAAAAAAACCACGAGACCGCTGACTGGTCACCAAAAAATTGTTGTTGATTTTTTTTTGGCTTTCGATTTGTAATAATGGACTGTGAATAGAATACGGTAATGATGATGTTAAAACATCTTTATTATGGAAAATATGTAATTGTGTTAGTTGTAAATAGAAAAGTGTTTACGGATACCATTTGAAGGTACTTTTACATGTTTTAAGGCTGAAAGTTTACATCATTTTTTTTTTTCGTGCTTAATATACAAAGTCCTAATCCTATTGCAATTCTCAATTTCTGCAAACCGGGTGACTAAAGCAAATTGCACAGACCAATCGAATTATTAATTTCAATACTCAGTTTGCTTTATAATCTAAATGCATTTATTTCATCTTTCATATCTTTATATTTTGTTTCCTGGATGCTTCCGAATTATTCTTATACTCATTATTGAAGCTGTCTGATCTAATGGAAGAGGTGGTATAGAGAAATTTAAAAGTCCAATTTCCGTGTGAAGTGTAACTCTATTGCAGGCTACTTATGAGAACGTTTCGTATTTTGTTCTTGAGAGTAACACACCAGCTTCATTAGGACCTCTTATATACTAACAATTATTTTGGTCGCAAAGAACATCTTAAAAGTTAAGGATTTTCTGAAGTTACTTAAATATATCCATATATTCAAAAGGTAAAACTTAGTTTTGAAGTCATGAATATCTTGTTTATAGAAGTTTTATGAATATCTGAACATGCTCTCAAAAGAACCAATCTATGTAAAAAAAAAGAAGATATATATAAATATAGAATAGAGAATGGAAACGGGGAATTTGTCAAAGAGACAACAACCCGATCAAAAGCAGAAAACGACCCGAAATTCCGAAAGGTTTTGCCAAATACAGATAAGTAATTTATACCTGGAGTAGATAATCCTTAGTTTTTAGAAAATTTCAAAGTTTATAATTGGACAGTTTCTCAAAAAAAAAAACGAATACCTTAATGATGATCATGATTCATAATTATATGACAAGCTCTTACTGCAATGTCCTGAATTTAGATAAGAATATTCTAATGTTAGTTGAATTCGGATGTCAAACTACCTACCTCAAGTTGTTTGTCAATGTCATTTAATCCGGAATTTGTGTGAACGAAACCTATATTATTTTTAATTTGGATATATAAAATCGCACCATATTGCAAAGATTTAGATGCTTTAAGGTTAAGCTATAAAAACAAAAACAAAATGTATTGAAGTTTTATTTACACACATTTCTGTAAATAAATCCTTTCCGAAAATTTAGAATATACTATCAATAAACAAAATCGTCAAGTATTTACATTTTTTTTATCAAATCAATCTCTTCTTCAAGCCTAAATTTCCACTTTATAAAATTAAAATTGAGAATGGAAATGGGGAATGCGTCAAAGAGACAACAACCCGACCATAGAGCAGACAACAGCCTATATATTGCTATACAAAATATAAGCAGAGACTTGCAATACCATACTAAAACGGTATGAAAAGTTAACATAGTAATTATTTAAAAAATGATTATTTTAAAATATTAATCACGTTTTTTTTTTGTGAGATGCAAAAATTTTTGTGAACAGAAATTCCTTTTGGTTAGTTTTCTTTTCTTTCCTACATTTGTTCACATGTTGCGTATAGGTGCGTCTACAAATTGTCATGGGATAAATGTTCAGAAATAATCAGCTTATTCTTGGACATAATAATTATATTATCAGTTTACTATTCCCAGGTTTTCCCCCCTCAGAATGCACAATAGTATTTTGTATTAAATACTACATACACAATGCGTACAGGGACCGTCTCAAAACATAAACTATATATTAATTACTTTATCATTATACTTGATATTTAATAAACATTCACATCAAAACGCATATGTTCTGTCAAAGGCAAATAGGTTGGAATACATAAATGATTGTTTTACTGCAATCTAGACTTTACGTTTTTACTTTCCGATCTACAACGAACTTTGATTGTTGAAATATACAATGTCACGTGGTAGCCTATACGTAGAGGGACTGTATCAAAAACAAAGAAAACTATCTGTAAAAATTATCGAAAATTTTGAGACGTTCCGAGAATCTTGTTTCCGAGGATATCTGAATGGTCCATAGAAGCTACCAAAACTCGCCAATATATAGGCGTGAACCCCCTTATAGGCAAAGGGGGTTCACGCAATAAAATTATTAAAGGAAAGGGGAAACTCAATCATAATGATATTATACATGTTATATACAGAATCTCTTCCTTATCAAAATAAACATCTTTGTCCGTTTAAAGAATTTCAGAAGGTGGTTAATTTTGTATGTTTAAATCTTTTTAAATGTCCCGTCTAAAAGGGTGATTCCTTTCCACATCAGTATAACCATTATAACTCGAATCTTCAACAAGTCTTGGTCGAGTTTCCTGGAGAGAGAATCAGATAAATATAGGTTAAATAACTTTGAACCAAAATATCAGGCAGATGAAATTCTGTACCCGAAAAAAGACATCAAAGTCGTCAGCTGACCAAGACTTCTTATCTTTCGAAGATTGATGTGATTGTGGAAATGGCCAGTACATACCGACAACCGAGGTATGAATTTGTTGCATACAAAACATGTGACAACCAATGAGAAAGTATGAAAAGAGACACAATTTTGACCGACCTCTGAAATTGCAAAAACAGTAAGTTTATTCAAGTATTTCAAAATTATTTTACGATAGGAGGCCATTTTCATGAATATTTTGCCTCGGGTGGGAAGTGGTGAAGCGAGGGATAAAATATGCAAAACAAAAAGAGAACAAACAAAGGAAAATACACAACCTTTACCAAAACTTATTCTTACAGGAAAATGTAACAAAATTACGTAAATTTATGTTCACTTAGTTTCTATGCACACATATATTGTGCCATCGTCACACAGCACAATGCCAGGATCTCATATCAAAATTAATACTCATTTCTGTGTTTTAAACAGAATCTTGCACCTCATTTCCACCTAATCTTTAAACATGGGGTAAAGAATGGTATTCTTAAAATGAACAGATGATCAACGAAAATTTCTTTCTTGCTTTTAAAATATTAAACCATTTTACTTCATCATATTGTATTTTTTTATTTTTATTTTGTTTTTTGTCTTCTACCGTAAGATTGTGAAAAAAAGTTTTTTATACAACCTTCATGGAAAAACAAACCCTACCAACGAAAACACGTGGATTACGAAGAGGCAACCGCGTTCACAGTATTAACAGTCTGCATCTTTCTATGTAGTATTGTGTGTATTTGTTTGTCTTTTTGTAGTCTGTCTTTTTTCTGCCCTGACTTTGTCACTTATGAGTATTGCATGTCCCCGTGATAGCTTCCGCCTCTTTCTTACAACCATCTTAAAAGTGACAGTTCCATTACGTATCTTTATTCTAATAATGCTTACATTGTTTAGATTGTCTAAAGAATAACCTATAAAATAATGAAACATTTTGTAAGTAAACTAAACGTGAAAATTTAACTCATTTGTGGTAAGTATAAAGTTTAGAGCAGAATCCTCACAAATAGGGCGTTTTTGTGTTATCTACTTGCTGATAAACAAAACAACAAAAAACAGCAAGGCAATACGTGTGCTCTTCTGCTGCCAGTACAATTGAGTCATCAAGGCTAACCCATTATTTACATTTATCACAAAACCTGTTAAGGGGTTAAAAATGTAACCCATAATGGTCCCTCCAATTGTTTTATTTTCGATCAATTTATAGGACAAAATTAGACTCAAATTGTACTTTTCTCTTCAAAACAAAAAAAAAAAGATATTTAACATTATAAAAAAACACAATTCAGAGCAAACAGCTCAAAATTTTTTTTTTTTTTTTTTGGAAATAATAAGATTCACTGGTAACAATTTGCTATTTCAAAATGCAAACGATTATGGGTAAATTCATTCGTAAATGGAAATTATATCCATTACTTGTAGACATATTCGTCTGCTGAATGGTGTCAGGTAGATATACAATTGTACATTTTTAATAATTTGTCTGAAATGAATATACATTATGGAATTTCTATACTTTACATACCTCGTGCTTTTTTCAAATGTTATTTTTATTCTTGAAATATTTTTTGAATAGTTGATGCATTTTATTACTCATGTATTTCCTTTACAGCTGATAAGCTTTGCAAGGGTTGCTTTTATATCATTTATTTAAATGGTTATAATCAGCTACATAATACCCACCTGTATTTGTTTATGCCATAAATTTTGCTCGTGCAGTTTAGAATATATTTGTTGATTTTTCGTTGTATACACTCAATATGGTCAATTATTTTAAGGTAAGCTTTCAAAACTGCAACAAGATCCAATCCTTAACAGATCTTAAAAGATGTCAGTTTTTTATGTCGACCTACCAAATCACGAGGTACTCAGTATACACTGGCAAAAATGCCACACATGTGTACATGCGTGACACATGCGTTTCACATGTGTGTCACAGGCATGTGAAAGAGACGTTTCATGCCACGCATGTGACACATGTGTGGAAAACACATGTGATACGCATGATACACACATGTGATCATGCGTTTCACATGTGAATTACATGCGTAAGGAAATGCACCTGTGATACATGCGTGATTACTGCATTTAAAAGGCATGGTGCCTGTATTAAATATTTTTATACGCCCGTTTACGGGACGTATTATGGTATACCGTTGTCCGTCTGTCCGTCCGTTGTCAACATGTCGGACATTAACTCAAAAACGCTTTAACCAATTTGCATAAAACTTTGGTGAATTGTTTATATCTATTGACGTGAGCTCCCTTTCGTTTTTT